ATAAAACCCAAAAAAAAAGACACATTAAAATGGTAAGAACATAAGAGAAGCCAATGTTGGATCAGGCCAATGGGACAAAAAAAGGGGGGGAGGGACTGAACCTAAAACCTAGAATCCAGAACCTAAAAAAGGTTAAATGCAAAAGGGGGCCAACAATAAAAGCTTAATATATGAAATATATAAAAAGATACATGTATTTATTAAACAAAGATTTTAAAATTATATATAAGGGCCCAATTACACCTCATGTACAAATAAAGAAGCCAGTTTTGGATCAGCCCAATGGCCCATCCAGTCCAACACTCTGTCACACAGTGGCCAAAAATACCAGGTGCCATCAGGAGGTCCACCAGTGGGGCCAGGACACTAGAAGTCCTCCCACTGTTGTCCACCCCCCCCAGCACTAGGAATACAGAAAAGTAAAAGAAAAGTACATCCAAACAGATTGAAATCACGCTGTCCTGCATAGGCCTGGCCACTGGAAAATTAAACAGGAAATTTGCAGTGATTTCAGAAAGCACAGATTTTGGTAAACTTTTAATGAAAGAGTGCCGAGAATGTCTCTTTGTGGTCTTTGTGAACATGGTTCATAGATTAAAAAGAAAAAAGTTAAGAGGACCTATTTGGAAGATCTTAAAAGGCCGTGACGAATTGTGGCAAAGAAGACAGTGTTCAGAGCTTTATAGATTAGCACCTTGAATTTGCCTAGAAAATAATGGTGAGTCTGCAGATGTCAGAGCGCTAGGATTGCTTGCTCGTGGCTGCTTGTTCCTGTCAAGAGAGAAAAATACAATAATCTAGCCTTGGAATTAGAATATCATGCATAGATAATAATATATTGCTTAGCAATTTGATCTACACATAGCATAGGAGAGGAGCTGTGAACTTCACAGGGCAGATCCCAGGGAAATTAAATAATTTGCCCATCATGATCTTGTAACATTACTGCCAGAAACTGCTGGTATCATTCTTGTACAGAATGCCTGCCAGGTGTAGCCTTTGCCACCAAAGCCTCAGGATCAGTGCTTCTTTTATTGGGAAATAAGGTCTGGATTATAATTTTCTATTGTCTCTGGTGATTTTTTTGTGAAGTCATCTGCAGAATAAAGCAGTAGTTTGTGAGTAACTGTGATTGTAGTTGACTTCATATTAATTAGTGGAATTTAGCATACCTTTTGTAACATTAACCACAATTCTCATTAAAATGAACAAATATAATTTGACAGAGGCCTGAATTTGTCAAACTGTCATAAACTGTGGATACTTCTGCAAAACTCTTTTCTGAGTAATATGTTCACTGAAAAAAATTGTTTAGGTCAGTAATTGTCACTTTGACAACCCAAGGGACCCCTATTCTGATCTAAAATTTTTGCTGACTCCCAAGCACTTCCCTCCACCCTGGCTGGCACCTGCTAAACACCAGATTAGCCTTATTTCACAGCATGACTTGTAGATTTTTCCATCTGTTCAAAGCAGTATGGCAAGAGCCATACCAGCTAAACATGTTGCTTTTGAATCAAGTTTAAGTGAAATGCTTGCATTTTCTGTACTTGGCCCACAACATCAGGGCTCAGAGGGCAACTGATTCTATAGGGTCACACCTCAGTAGGCTCTGACTCGAATTCTAATCAGTCTTTCTGTACTTGGCCCACAACATCAGGGCTTAGAGGGCAACTGATTCAAGTCAGAGCCTCAGACTGTCAGAATTCTAATCAGTTTCACCCTTTGACTGGAAAGGACTTTATACCCAGATAGCAACAAATTCACTTGTTGATTAATAACTTCTAGCAAGAAGCCAGCTGAACTGTGTGTGAAAGAGCCTGGGAAAAAAATTCAAAACTACTTTGGGGAACAGAAAAACATTGTACACAACCTGAACTTCCAGTATTCAACTGAAAACTAGCATTGGCTGCTATTGTTTGTGGATGCAGAGTGGGCTGTCTCTATTTTTGTGCTGAAATCCTTTGCATTGGAAAATGCAGTGAGAACAAGTCCAGTTTTAAAATAGAAATAGCTATCATGATTGTATTAGCATTAGGAACCTACCTCCTTGATGTTGCTGAACCAATTAAAGTTCCTAAGGCTGAGCTATTGGTTCTAGCAACCATTTAGCACATATTCTGGCTAATGGTCCAAAGGGATCTGGAAGTGAGTTACAAGATGGAAAATTTCTGGAATTTTTGATGCCACAGGGAGAAAAGTGTATCATTTATAACTTGACATATAAACTTGTAGTATTTGAGATTTATGGAATGTAAAAGTATTACTCTTTTGTTTTTCTGTAAGGAAAAATACAAATATACCCAATATTTGAGAGAGTTGCAAAACCGGTATCTTAATTTTTATCATCTGAGAGGAATTAAAAAAACAAGGTAGCAAACAAATTCTATAGTAAACAAAATAAAATATGCTATTTGGATAGAAACACTCATACAGTTGCAATCTGTAGGACTATCAGCATATTTGGATATCAAGTTATACTTTATAGCACTGAGGACACTGAATTCTTTAATAATGCATTATTATTATATACATTATCATTATATACATTATTAACTGTTGCCAAAATTGTTTAGGAACTATATCTTCTTGACAATATGTTTTAAATATCTCTAGTATACTCAGGTATTTTACATAAGTATGTTCATACTACACAGTTTGAGTAATACCTTGTCTTAAAAATGTCATTCATTACTGGGGGGGGGGGGATCACAGGAATTTTTTCCAGTGTTTTCCAGAGTTTCCCACTGGTTCTTGGTTTCATATGTAAAGTGAATGTGTGACGGCAATTTCTTACAAATTACATGTATTCACTGCAACATTTGAACAGAATTTCCCAACAGGAAAAAACCCTTGGATTTTTTGATACTATACATAGTGAGTGAGAAAACTGTGTCTTAAGAAGCATTCTAACTATTCCAAAGGAGAAAATATTTTATACGAGTTTTTCCCCCACAATACTTCCCTAATGGAAAAATTGAAAAACATATTCAGGGAGGGGAAAAAATGGGGGGAAACTAAGGTTTTTTAAAATGAATTTTTCCTTTTTTTTCTGGGCCTCCCATTATTAAGTTAGATTACTATGGTCATTAACAGCCTTTTTCCTTCAAAAGTAGCAGAAGCCAATTTTTTCACTGAGATGGAGAGTCCTTGCCATCATTCCTGGAAAACTGTAGCCCTGTTCACATGTTGCAATGAACACATGTAATCGGTTTGTAGTAAAGAGTCATCACACATTCACTTTACATATGAAACAGGGGGCCGGTTCTGGATCAGTGTGGGGTTTAAAACATGAATTGAATTGTACCTGATATAAGCTGTACATGTATTGAATCTAACATGAGAATGACAACACACATAAAAAGAAAAATCAAGTGTATATAGATTATCCATGTGTTCACTGTAACTTCAAGGCTTGAGAGGCCTCCATACTTGTCTGATAGGTGCAAGTAGGGTCCACCCTTTGTTCTTACAAGGAATGCATGGATTCCCTGGAATACCTTTAAGGGTCCTTGGGCTGCAATTTGAGAAACACTGATTTAGGCTGTTCTCTTATCGCTCTCTTGAGCTGGAGCTGTATCCACCAGTTCAGCAGAGTGCATTATGTGCTGTGAACTTTCAGTGGAGCACAGAACAGCATTGGGATGCCAGGAGATTGCAAAGAAAGTTAAGGTTTGAAACTCTAGCCTTGAGAGGTCTTACAAGTCTCCTCCAGCTACGTTTCTTACATTTTTATTTTTCGTTGTTGTTGTTTTAGTAGTATCCTTTTCCTTGAGTGTGGTGTTTGGATTCAGTTTATGCTGTTTTCAATTAGCAAAGATTAACAATACATCATAGATGCAACGAACATGAAATTGAGCAAACTTCAAAGGACGGCGGAAGGCCTTGCGTGATCTGGCCCATGGGGTTGTGAAGAGTCGGACTCGACTGTGCGACTGAACAACAACAAACAATATTTAAAGTTTCTTTTCTGCTTTGCTGGGTAGGCTTGTAGGGGAACCGAGCTTGATTCTGGAATTGAAACAGACAGTGGGTCGGATGAAAGCATCTGTCAGAAAATACCTGTGGAAGCAGATTTCTTATATGCATATTCCACTGCTCCTGGTAAGATGAGCCTGCGTTGCGGGGAGGGCGGGGTATAAATTGAATTAATTAATTAAATAAATAAATAACATCACTGGAAGATGCAGCTTTTAAGTTCAAAATACACAGGTGGTTTTATGATTGCTATATCCCAGCCAGTAAAGTTAATTCAAGACTGCATATTTTGAAGCAGTTTCTCATTTTGTTTAATTTACTGTACATACAGTGAGGCTACCGGGATAAAGTTCTTTTTTTCAGTATTGGGTGTAGGTTTTTCAGTGAAATCTACTTTTCCCAGAATGGTTTTGGTACAAAAAGATTCCTGACCTCTTCAGTTACATCCCCATATCCTTATATAGGGCAGGCTGTGTGGCAAGTCCAGTAAACTCTATGCTTGGAAAGATTCTCTGCTTGTTCCATTTAACGGTCTAACTACAAGGATGATTTTGAATCTACGTCTTGTCACTTCCTACAGAGGATGCTTGGGACTAAGGGACAGCAGACTTCAGGCTGGGTCGTATAAAGACAGAACGAGATAAATACCAGGCCATTTAGTAAATGGGATGGATTCCCTTATTCTAGTCAACCCTTTCTAGGTAGGACTTGTGCTGCACAAGGTGATCTTTAGTTAATCCCATATTTAAATGCCTTCATTTAATACCTCTTGCCTTCTTTCTTATTTAAAAAAACTATTTGAAGAGCCAAGTATATGTCTGACTTCTAATGGTTATGTTTTAAAGAACATTACGCATTGGATTATATTTGATGCACTTTTGTTCCCCCCCCCCTTTTTTTTTGTCCTTCTATAGGCTACTATTCTTGGAGAAACTCATCAGATGGTTCCTGGTTCATACAGTCTCTGTGTGTGATGATGAAACAATATGCTAAAGAACTTGAACTTATGCAGATTCTAACGCGCGTAAATCGCAAGGTTGCAGAATTCAGTTCTTGTTCAAACCGGCCAGACTTCCATGGGAAAAAGCAGATCCCCTGTATTGTGTCCATGCTCACGAAAGATTTTTACTTTCCCCACTAAAGAAGCTTTCACTGTGAAGTGAGCAGAAAACAGAGCGCCTGATGCCATTTTCAAATCTGAGCTAGTGCTCAGTCTTTTGTGCCTATGCTGCATTAAAGAAGCTTTAAGATCTAGATAGATTTAAACATTTTACCACTGGAACTGTGGGGATACTTTGCTGGAGTTCAGAAATTCTGACTTCAGAAATTGAAATAGTTTGGTTTGAAGCAGTGCTCTGATACAGTGGTAAAATAGATGGTAGAAACAAATCAGATTACATATCCTGTGACAGAAGCAGCAATAAGAGTTAGAAAAATTGTGACACTTTCAGGGCAACCTTGTTAATTTTGGTAACAATGTTACATGCCAATTCTAAACATGTTTACCTGGATGTAAACCTCATTGATATAGTGGATTCCCCCCCCAAGTGAATATAGTAACTTAATGGTGTAAACGACTGGTGTTCATATGCAATCATGTAGCAGAATTAGACTGTTGAGGGATATCATCATCAGTTTGGCTTTCAAGTAGCAAAGGCCAAATGAAAGGGTTTCAGATCACTTTGGCCACCTTTGAGTACTATTTATATGTCAAGAATAAAGTTAAATAAAGGGTCTGCAAGGGATACATATATGGGTATATATATGTACCCTGAGTCTGCAAGGGATACATATGTACCCATATCGTAAGTTTAAAAAAATAACTGATTTCCCCCCCTTTTTTGTACATTTACTTGGTAATGAATACAAGTTGGAACTCTGAATTCTTGCAGGATTGAAAACCTGTGGGGTTTTTCTTTTTCATTTCAAATTCATTTTTTATAAAATCCTGTTCTAGGCTTAGAGATTTTGTGCATGCAGTGTTTTTGTTCATAGAACAGATTTAAAATACTTTTTGTTAAAATTTTGGGGTTCTTAATTGATAACAAATCCATGTAAATGAAAGCAGCATGTGAAAATGTATGACTCCTGTGTCTTAGTTTTGACGTTGAATTGTAGCATGTTTACGAATACTAGAGTGGAAATGATTGTGTATAGCAGAATTTCACTTGAAGATTGAATTATATTGTCCTTCAGGCACTCATGGAAACTTGTATGTGCTAATTATGAGTACCAGTGAGTTTGCAAGCAATGTTCAGGAAAAAGAATGAAAATTCTTCACAGCCCAGGCAAGCTAGCGGTCTGTTTCTCTGTACTGTAGCCTTTCACCCTGATTCATAGTGAAGACAAAGGGATGGGTCCTATGAATTCTTTCCACTAATGAAGCCTTCCTCCCATACGAGTGTGTTAAGCTGGAATTTAATGGAATGGATTCCTAATATCTAACTTAGTGAACGAAAATAAGTTTTGCATACTCACAAGGCTTACAAAAGCCAGTGGAGCTGGTTCCATCATCAGTTGGTGTGTGATTGGTATGGATATCTAACAGGGTGCAACCTCAGTGTAGCTGCCTACACAAATCAACATAGCACAAGTCTTTGGGAAAGGCCATTCAGTTGGTTAAATGCATTTCTGGACTGAAGTCATTCTTGTCACCCTTCACCGATTCTGTGAGAGTGCAAGTGCAGCAATAAGCTTTCCATTAGCATCACTTAAGTATTCTTTTGAACTATGGCTATCTCAATGCATTTGTTAATTATACAGAGAATTAAAGAAGTAAAAAAAAATGGTTGAACATCAGATGCTTGAAATCATTAATCTATAGAAAAGACATTTCCAACATATATAACTAGCAATGTCTGTAACTTGGCCGTATCATTTCAAATTCCATTTCTTTGAAAACTTCTTTGTGATTTTTGTAACTTATATTTAATAACTTATGTTTGACTGTACTGTAACCTTCACATGAGAACCTAATAAATCATGTGCATTGTTTTTAATTGGCTTAGTCACTTTCTCATTTTCACCAGTAAAATTATTTTTATCTGTAAATTCTTACTGATACCAGCTTATCACAATTAGGTCTTTTAAAAAATCTAGAAAAATGTTCAAGTTTACTTCATTTGTATCTCATCTTTTCCCCTAAGTTGGAGACCCCAGTTAGTTTACACTTAGGCTGAGAGTGTTATGACTGGCCCAAGATCACCCAGCAAGCTTCTACAGCAGAGTGGGGATTCAAGCCTGGAACTCCCAGATCCTAGTCTTGACACTGTAACTGCTGTACCACACTGGCATTAATCTCAGATTACAGTTCCCGTGACAACCACCCTCAGGACAAGATCCTTCCATTTGGGCTTTCTCCCACTGAGGAGGCCCTTTACAATGTTGACTGTCCCCTGTTGGCTCACTGAGTCTGCAAGGGATACATAGGTACCCATATTTAATTTACCTCTCTGGTCTTCCTTTAGTGGTGATCTCAGGAGTTCAGGTGATCCTGTAATACATCAACAACCATAAGTTTCTAGTTAATAGCAAAGGAGTTGTATGGTTCCAAAACCGTTAATTCAGCTTCTTTAAAAGATTGTCTTCTTGCACCCTTGACAGATGTGAAAATATCCAGATCTTCAGATAATTTTTAAGTCCACCAAAGCAGATGTTAGGATACTAAGGGTTAGATGATTTCCTGCATAGGTGGTGGAGATGTCACTCCTAGCTTCTGCAGTTAACTTATTAGAGCAGGGGTGTCAAACTCATTTGTTATGAGGGCCAGATCTGACATAAATGAGACCTTGTTGGGCCGGGCCATATGTGTCATAAAATGTAATGCCAGGTAGCGGAGATATAAACTTTATAAAGGAAACAAATGCAAAGATTTTTTTAAACTTAAAATAAAAACATTAGCTCTGTAAACTGCAAACCTACTTTTGATTTATTGACATTCACCACAGGAATCTCATGCTCAGAGTTCTGAGACTAGGAACCAGGTTAAAACATGAAATGGCTGAGTGATTAAGAGAGTCTGGCAAAGCAAGCTATGATGCAGGAAGCAGGAGATGGCTAGTTCCACTGCGGGCCTGATGAAAGCCCTCCGGGGGCCTGATCCAGCCCCCGGGCTGCATGTATTAGAGCATTGTTAACCTGCCTTTCTCTGGAAGCACACTCAAGACAATAATGATAACAAAAAACATCCACAAGAACAAATGGATCTATCATCAAAAACAAGTGGGTGAACACCCTCCTGAATAACTGCCATTAGGGTTGCCAATTCCAGGTTGGGAAACACCTGAAGATTTGGGGACTGGATCCTGAGGAGGGTGGGTTTTGGGGAGGGGAGGGTCTTCAATGGGGTATAATGCCATAGAGTCCACCTTGCAAAGTGGCCCTTTTTGCCAGGTGAACTGAACTCTCTCGCCTGGAGACCAGTTGTAATAGCAGATCTCCAGGTACCCTCTGAAGTCTGGCAGGGGCAACCTCAATGGCAGTGTGCAGTTTGTGGAATCTCAGCAAAGCAGAAACATCTCTAACAGGTTTTGGGAAGGTTATTCGACTAAATAGGAACAGCCACTAAAAACAGCAGCTCCACCCTCAGCAGAAAGGAAAGGGTAAGAGAAAGATTCTCACTGCAAGAAGTGATAGTAAATACAAAAAGAACTGAAACCAGTGAGTAGTAGACAGAAAATGGAGGATAGATTGATTAGATAGATGATAGATAAATTAGATAAGTACACTCAATCAGACTAAGAAAGGGAACCTCAACCCACTTTTCTTACCCTTGCTGCATCCAGAATACCTTCACACACACCCAAAATAAAATAAAATCCACTGTACATGGGCTTACTTTCTCCACAGTATTGGCTTCCACTGGATTCCTTTACTAGAATCTACAGTCTTGCCCAGAGGAACTAAGGCCACTCATCACAGCTTCTTTCATTTGGATAAATATTAGTCTCCCCAGCCAAACTCCTTCCCAGCCCTCTATCACAGGGTCCACTACTACCTCCAGACCTAGCTTGGTTCCCTCATACTGCTGCCAAACTGAAGGGCACATTCTAGAGTCTCTTGACCCTCATGTGTGAAAAAGCCATTAAACCCAAACAGAATTTGAAATAATTATGTGACTATTTTTTAAAAAAACTATGGTTGTTTTCTACTGTAAAAAGTACTGGTTGTTGAAATGTAGACTTAAAAGCTCCTTGAGACACAGACCTACCTCAGATTATTCTGTAAAAAAACCATGTATATTGATTTGTTGTTATTGTTACCATCAAGTCACAACTGACCTATGGCGACCCCGTAGGGTTTTCAAGGCAAGAGATGTTCAGAGGTGGTTTGCCATTGCTTGCCTCTGCATCAAAACCCTGGTATTCCTAGCCAGGACTGACCCTGCTTAGTTTCTGAGATCTAATTAAACTGGGCTAGCCTGGGCTATCCAGGCCAGGGCTGTACACTGATGGTATTAAATAAATACAATAGTCCAAAGAACTCTTGGCCTATCATATTTATCTCAGCACACATTACTGGAGAGTGCTGTGTGGCTAACAGATCGTTACCACCAGGTGTCAGCAGAGGTACTGGAATAACCTGCACAAGATGTAAACAGAATAAGATGAAGGTCTGATTACTTCCCAAAAATATGCTGTTTTGGTTATTAATATTGAGTAATCCTAGATTAGGGTCTTCTTTAGCTTCTGAGTAAATGTCCACAAACTGCTTTATACACATTGCAAATACACATTATAATACATAATGTACATGGCTACTTTGAGACTGGAAGAGGGACAGAGGGATAAAATCCTAATTTTGTTTTTCATGGATTGTATGTATACCTGCAAAGAAATAAACTGGTATTTATAGCTCTGATGTGCTTCACAGAGGAAAGATTACCAAAGTGAATATACCATCAACAAGAGACTCATATTAAAAAAGAACATCAAAACCACTTAGATAATAAAAAATTAGGTATAAAATTTGTGGCGTCTGAACTAAATAAAAAGAAAAATGGGGTTGTTACATATGTAAAGGATATATTAGAGCCGGAACTGGTGTATGGATCTAAGGATGGCAGAATACTCATTAGTTAAGGTTAAAAGGGGAATAAGAAAAATGCTGATAATAAATGTATACGCCCCAAATTCAGGACAACAGGAATTTTATCAGAAACTCAGGAGAAAAATTACTCAGCTAGAGGGAGAAGAAATTTGTTTGTTAGGAGATTTGAATGCGGTTCATAACAAAAAGGTTGATAGGAGAAACGCTGTAGGAAATTTCCGGCAGAGGGGGTGAGCTACCTACTGCATTCAGTGAATTAGCAGAGGACCTCAATATAATGGATGTATGGAGAGTGAAAAATCCCGATAGATTTGATTTTACTTATTATTCGGGACGGCACAGATCATGGTCGCGTATTGACATGATTTGGGCAAGCCCGACAGTGTTGTTGGACGTGCAGTATGTGGAACTACAGCCAATGTCATATGCAGACCACAAACCAGTAGTAATGACGCTTTGGGAAACACAGAAACATACAAGGTGGAGATTAAATACATTTTTACTTAAAGATAAGAAATTTGTAGATAAAACTAAAAGTGAAATTAAGGAATTTTTCAAGATAAATCTAGGGGCTGATATGAAGGTAACAGTGATGTGGGATGCTTTTTAGGCATTTATGAGGGGAACTTTTATACGGGAGGCGATAAATAGGAAGAGGAGAATAAATCAGAAGATGCAAGAATTAAAAACTAAATTGATAAAGGAGGAAGGAAAGCTGAAAGTAGATCCGAAGTCGGACGCAGTGAGATTGGAAGTGAAAAAATGCCAACACGAAATAAACTG